ATATAATACAAAGTAAATGTCAAAGTAAAAATTCTTATCAAGGATAGAGAAGCTCATTTCAAAATGATAAAGGGGTCAACTAATCAAGAGGACGTAACAAATCCTAAATGTTTATGCATTAATAACAGAGTCTGAAAACGTAAAGCAAGAATTGATAGATCTGCAAGAAGAAATGCACAAATCTACAATTACGGTCAAAGGTTTCAACATTCCTCTCTCAATAACTGATAGAAAAAGAAGACAAAAATCACTAAAGACATAGAAGGCTTTATCAACCAATTTGTGTGTCAATATCTATCAAGGGGGTCATTATCTTGGCTGTGATGATAGTTTCACCGTTGTATACAAATGTCAAAACTTATTTATACATTTTAAATATGTGCACTTTCATGTTAATCATACATCAATAAAGCTGTTTAAAAAACTCAATGTAAATCAAAGACACTCTGGAACATTTATAATCACTTACAAAACAAAGTCATAAAAACAGAATGAAAAAACAAAAAAGAATCAGAATTTCATACCTAGTGAATACTGGAAGCTGGGATTGAATAACCTGGACTCTGATCACAACTAGTAATAGTGTACTAAACATCAGGACAATGAGTTTTATTAGTGTCTGCAGCATAGAAAACGGAATACTACTCTTTCCACGGAGAAACTGACCAGCAGTAGAGCATAATAATGGCAAAGTATACTAGAAAAAAAAAAAAAATTTAAATAATGAATAACAATATACTACCATGTTTTCACAATATAGCACTTCCCACATACAACATTAGATACAAATTGACTATAATACGGAACAATTTGTGGAACTGGCAATGAATAAAAATGGAGACTAAATCAATAATCTTAACCAATAATGAATTATATTATATAATATTACTCTGTACTTTTCCAAATTGCCTAACAATTCCATTATTGAAACTGAAAAAGCAGTCCTTAAAAAATGAAGATGTCTTTAAAAAAGAAGAAGTTAAGTTTTAGTGGGTATGAGACAAAACATGCTTGTTCTACGCAAATTTTTGGTTTGACTTTCTAAATGAATTGGTAAACAGACTGATTTAAATAGATAAGACAGATTCTAAAGATAGATGTAGAAAATAAATATAATCTGATTCAACTAGGATAAACCAAAATAGCAATCAAAAAATTTATATTTCTCCTTACCCCCTGGGCAATAAACACTTCATACACACAGCAAATTCCCACCACTGTTATTCCTTGTTCTTTACACAATGTTGCAACAGCCACTAAAAATACTGTCAATGCAATTGGAGCCCACACTGCAATTTAAGAAAAGAAATAAATAAAACTTCACAAAAACAATTTTATGATAGTACAAAAATTAGACAACTACTAGATATTATGAAAAATCTTTACTTGTGATTCTATATCCACATTTGTGCTATTTCCCATTAACTTATACTTGATAATTTAAAATATTTTTAAATTTTGTAAGTAATTTTTCCTTTATATATTCAAAACAAAGCAAAACATCAAGATGTATAATTTGAACTAAAAAACATTTTTTTTTGGAAAGGGAAGTTATCTAACAAATTGTAACTTTTAAAACAAAGGAAGGGTGGGGGAAATTGGAGGAAATTACAGGTTTGAGTCATAATTAATGAACTATCAATATGAAAAGAAGATAAATACTTGAAACTACTGCATAGATTAGATATCTGTATAGATTATATCTGTACTTCAGGATAGATCCTGGAATTTTCCTTTTGATGATGAATGGAAAGCCATTCCTCTTCAATATGTCATACCTGGCATAGCAGAGCATATGACTGTCTGATTCAAACTGTCCAATACCAGTCCA